CAAACTCCTTTCCCTTCCCCTCCCCAGAACAGTCACCCTGTGAGGTAGGTGGGGCTGAGAGAAGAAGAGAAGAAGAGATTGGATTTATACCCCGCTCTTCACTTGGAGTCTCAGAGCGGCTTACAAACTCCTTTCCCTTCCCCTCCCCACAATAGATGTAGGTGGGGCTGAGAGAACTCTGACACAAACTGCTCTTTTTCAAGGACAGCTGTGCCAGAGCTTGTGACTGACCCAAGGTCACATCAGCAGGTGCAAGTGGAGGAGTGGGGAATCAAACCCGGTTCTCCCAGATTAGAGTCGGCGCACTTAACCACTACACCAAACTGGCTCTCTGAGCTCTGAGAGAACTGTCCTTGAGGGAACGGCTCTGACAGAACTATGGCTTGCCCAAGGTCATCCAGCAGCTGCAAGTGGAGAAGTGGGGAATCAAACCCGGTTCTCCCAGATTAGAGTCCATGCACTTAACCACTACAACCAAACAATATATGTATTTATCAGAGTGTCAGACTAGGATGGGGGACACCCAGGTTTAAATCCCCACTCAATCATTTATCTAGGGAAGGTCAGTGGTGCAGTGTGGCATGCAGAAGGTCCCAGGTTCAGTCCCTGGCATCTCCAGTTAAAAGGATTGTGGAAGAGGTGACGTGAAAGACCTCTGCCTGAGACCCTGGAGAGCTGCTGCCAGTCTGAGTAGACAACACAGGCCTCAACAGACCAATAGTCGGGTTCAGTATGAGGTGCCTTCATGTGTATCCATACCCCGCTTCTCTCCTAAAACCAGACTCAGTGTCTTGCCCAGCGCTCCCTCTAAGCTGTGGAGTCCTGTGAGCAGAAATTCTACTTTGTGAGCCACTGGCATTAAAGTTGTGAGCGAGTGATTCAGCTGCTGCGTAAATTAGTTTGCTCTGGAGCCATCCTTCCTGAGCTAGGACAAAAATGTGCAAGCTGGAGGGTAAAAAACTGTGAGCTAGCTCACACTAACTCATCTTAGAGGGAACACTGGTCTTGCGTATCAGAAATTAAAATACCACACAAATAGGGAGGGATCCAGGATCCCAAGAATTCGTCATCACGGCTAGCGAACCACTGGACCACCCAGGGATTGAACAATTAGACATTGTCCAAGGCTCTTTTATGTCATTCTGCTCTGAAGAACTTCCTGAACTGTTAAGGAAAAAATCCGTCTCACTTGCTCCGCCAAACTCTTCCCATGTGCCAGAGCAGTCACAGAAAAATATCCCAGCCTGGGCTAAAGCAGATCTCACCCCTACACAAGTAGGTACCATTAATAAAACCTTGGCAGACAACTAAAGTTGCTGCATCTATGGGGAAAGGTGGTCCCTAAGATACGAAGGCCCTGAAGTGCTTTCAGAGCTTAAAGCCAGCACCTTGAGCTGGATACAAAAATCGTTAACCTACATACCAAAGAACTGGGGAAGGGGATCACGTGCACATAATGCTTTGCCCCTACTAACAGTTGCAATTCACGTTTTGAACAATTTGTAGCGTCCGCACTGTCTCTCAGGGCAGCCCCACGTTAAGTGCGTTATGATTCAGGGCTCTTTTTGTAGAAAAAGCCCAGCAGGAACTCATTAGCATAATAAGCCACACCCAACATCAGAAACCCATTAGCATATTAGGCCACACCCCTGACAGCAAGCTCATTAGCCCAATACAGCCACACCCATTTTTTGCTTCTTATTCTGTTTACCTTGTTTGTTGTCAAAACCCAGGGCTTTTTTTGGAGCAGGAACTCCTTTGCATGTTAGGCCACACACCCCTAATGTAGCCAATCCTAATGCGTTTCTGCTGTTGGGTGTGGCCTATTATGCTAATGAGTTCCTGCTGGGCGTGGCCAACTTGGGAGCCAGCCGGAACTCCGTTCCTGTGCGTTCCTGCCCAAAAATAGCCCTGAATTGATCATCCAGCCTCAGCGTTCCTGCCCAAAAATAGCCCTGATCATCCAGCCTCGAGGTTGCCATAATGTTGATTGGCATGGCTAGGCCATTTCATTCCAGGAAGGGAGAGAGCTTCTTTGCCAGATGTGGTAGTGGAGGAAAGTAACTGTCTTACGGTGACCCCGCAGGGATTTCAAGGCAAGAGACGTTCGGAGGTGGTTTTCCGTTGCCTGCTTGTGAGCTAGTAGCAACCCTGGACTTCCTTGGTGGTCTCCCATCCAAATACTGGCCAACCCTGCTTAACGTCGGAGCCCTGATGGGACTGGACTAGCCTGGGCCACCCAGGTCAGGGCAACTGTGTTCAGCGGTCTTTTAGCCACTCATTTCAGTTTGTTGGAAACAAAATACTACAACAAAACCCTTAGGTGGTGGTGTGATGGAAAGCGCCATCCAGTCACAACCAACTTATGGTGGTGACCAGTGTTCCCTCTAAGCTGAGTTGGTGTGAGCTGGCTCACAGTTTTTTAGCCTCCAGCTCACAGATTTTTACTCTAGCTCAGGAAGGATGGCCTCAAAGAAGACTAATTTATGCAGCAACCAAATGGCTCGCTCACAACTTTAATGCCCGTAGCTCACAAAGTAGGATTTTCACTCACAAGACTCCACAGCTTAGAGGGAACATTGGTGGTGACCCCACAGAGTTTTCAAGGCCAGAGACGATCAGAGGTGGGTTGCCATCGCCTGCCTCTGTGTAGCGACTCTGGACTTCCTTGTACTGACTGGGGCCAACCCTGCTTGACAAATGGACCTGAATAAAAAGCTCCCTGGCGGACCTCGGGAGAGCCACACACCCACTTTCTTGCTCTGTTGAGCCCACCTTACAAGAGTGTTGGGAAGGCAAAAGGGGGGGGGAGCAATTTCACCATCCTGAGTTCCCCAGAGGAAAAAGCTGGTAGAAAATAAGTTCATGTCATTTTGCATTTCGGGGTTTTCACTGTCGTCTCAGGACTGAATGTGAAACATGACCTTCCTTCCGTAAATCTCACATTTCGCAATGAGATTTAAAGAAAAAAGATCTCATTCGTTTTTTTAAAAGGATGACCTTACAAGCATGCGAAGCCGGGAGAGGAGCAGAAGAAAACTCTGCCGTAAGCCAAATGAAAGAACAATTGTAATGACAGCCAAGGACCTGAAGCACTTTAAATGCTATTCCAATTACGAGCTAGATTCCCCCCCCCCTCCAAGAACGGAAGGAGGTTTGAGAGAGAGAGGGGGGGGGGGGGGGAGAGATCTGCTCACGATGTATACACACGTCCTGTTCTGGTCTTTGGTGGACAGGTCTGGTAGGCTTTCGTAGTGGGTTAGATCCAGACAAAATTTCTCCACAATCAGGAGAGGTGTAATTCCCGCCCTTCCTGCTGCAGACCTGCAAATGGCCCTTCGTGCCATTCCTTTTTTTTTCGAAGCAGCATTTGGGGGCGATCCAGAGGCTGCAGCAGGAGGGTAGGAGGCAGGAAAGTTGTGTTCCGTCGACAGAAGAGCTGTCTGTCCCTGGATAAACCTAGGCTGATAGCTTCCAACCCACTGTCTCAAAAACATGCAAAACCTATTTGACCAGAGGCAACAGTGAGACAAAAGCACGTCCACCCATGCTCCCTCTAAGCTGTCTTGTGAGCCAAAATTCTACTTTTTGAGCTACTGGCATTAAAGTTGTGAGCAATCAATTTGGCTACTGCATAAATTAGTTTGCTCTGGAGCCATCCTTCCTGAGCGAAGACAAAAATGTGTGAGCCAGAGGCTAAAAAACTGTGAGCTAGCTTAGAGGGAACACTGACATCCACCACACGAGGCAAAACCCTTTCTCTTTAAAACCATACATTCAGCATCTGATGATTGGGCAGAAAGCTGATTTTGGCTGGACAAACCATCTGCAAGAGAGACCTGTTGTGAACAGTGTTTTGCACAGAAAACTCAAAAGCTGGTGGGGTGAAGGCTTTCTCCCTCTTCCACGGGGAGGGGCACAGGACTGTTTTCTCATCCTGGTACTTCTAGCCCACCTGACACAATGGATGCCAGACAGCTCTGTACTAAAACCATGGCAGGAAGTGCCTGTCCAGGTAAATCCAGGTAACTTGTGAATATCACCCTAGAGCTATACTCCTGGCTACCAGGGAGGGGGGGTGTTTCTGGTCCTGATCCCACCGGACCTCTCCCACCAGACTCTTCACTGCCTGCTTCCTGACGTGGCTTTTGACCTCTCTGCTGGTTATCCAGCCCTCCAGGCCAGGCCTTCTGGTACCCCAATAGCTGAAGCACAGAACAGCTGACTATCCACAGAAGGATAATTGAGAGGAGCAGCACTTTCTTATTGCAATGGAGGAGGCTTACCCCCCCCAAACACACAATGATTCCAGAAAAGGGGGGGGGATAGCATTCCTGTTTTTCCATAGCTCTTTAGTGTAGAGGAATTCGAGTCTGGAGCCAAGGTGCCCGTTGAGTTTCTGGGACAGCAAGGCGTTTTGGATCTCTAGATCTCTGGAGTTTGGGGGGATTTAGTAAGCGCTAATCCCAAACCAGGAAAAAGAAAACGCATAAAGGAGAAACAGGAACTCAAAGGACCTGACCCCTCCACACATGGTTTTTCTCCCCCTCCTTACAAAATCCAAACCGGGGGTGGGGGGTTTCCAAAAGGAGAAACTGGGAACGGAAAGAGGAACAGGAACTTAAGAGACCTGACCCCCATCTGGTTGGTTTTGGGGTTTTTTTAACCCCCGTGGTTGGTTTTTGGGTTTTTTTAACCCCCGTCCAAAATTCTGAGTCGTCTTTTACGTCTGTTAGGACAGGGAGGAAATTTCTTTGGGGGGGAACAGTGTGGGGCCATGCCCTCTTCCTACCTACCCACCATGTTGGGGGGGGGCAAGCAGGGGCAGGGCTTTGTTATGGGGCGCCCAATCCGGGGTTTCGATGGTAACAGGTGCATGTCTGGGGAGAAGCGCGCAGCCGGGCCGGAGCCACCCCGCCCGATCCCCTTCCCCCTTTCCAGAGCGAGGGGGGAACCAGAGCGCCTCCCCCCCAAAAAAACTCTGTATTCTTTGAACTCACCACCATGGCGCCGCGATCCCAGCGCGCCGCGGCAGCAGCCCGAGCCAGTCCCGGGCCGAGCGGGGACAGTAGGGGAGGGAGCAGCACGGACGCCCAACGCTGCTGCCGCTGCTGCCGCTGCTGCCGCTGCCACCCGAACCCCTTACCTCTCTTCGCAGCCCTGGCCCTTCACCTGCACCGGCACCAACCGGCTGAAAACACTCTCCGACGCCATCTTACGCTTTGC